AGAAGAACTTTTTCGACGTGGCCATTTGAGATGTACAGGGTGGTTCAAATTCGATGTCCGAATAGGCTAACTCGGAAACTATAAGAGTTAGAAAAAAAGTAGCTTACATGTCATGATCTCGTTTTTCGAGAAACTGCTAATGCCAAAAACCTCAAAGCGCTATCGTCTTTTGTTTTTCCCCTAGAGGCCAAAATTGAAAATATCGTAAAACCAACAAGTGCAATTGTCTTGGTTATTATTGTAGGTGGAGTATTACAACTACGACATTATATGGACACTTTTTTACAGAAATAATCTTATTTTTAGTGTCGTCAAAGAAATTAAATTTACAGTTTCCTGTAAATTATAACTCAAAATTTAAAAAAACATATTTCTGATATTTGAAATAAATACATTTGTTGAACTATTTAATTTATATTTGTTTTACAGAAAAGTTGGAATAGATTGCATTATTTCACATTTTTTATTAATATTTAATATTATTATTAAATGACTTAATTAGATTATTAATAGATGGCGATCATATACAAGTGTCCCGAAACTCAACGTCAAGCGGGCACCGGGTGAGAGGCCAACCCATACCTGTTCTGGTAAAAATAAGAAAAAAAAAGTCTCTTAGTTAAGTGGTAATACACACATTTTTGAAAATGTTAAAAATCATTCCCGTATATCATATCTTTAGGTACTATGGTCAGAAATGTTCGCAATTTAATAGTGATTTTTTTAATAATGTATCCCTAATGAACCATGTTACTATAGCAGTCACAAATCGAACAACAAAAGTCGTTAGTTTTACGAAAAAAAAGTATTAGTTTGATTGAGTTAAGGTTGAAAGAATTTATGTCTATTAAGTTTGACACACGATTTCTAAACAAAGGAGTAGTACAACACCCTTGCCAAGTTATTTTAAAAGATGGCCTGTTTAGTCAAGATTTCAAAATGGTATAACACTTGCCATTTTTCTTTTCCTAAAAAATATGATTGCCTGTTTTTCTGCAAAAAACACGTTATTTAAAAAATTCATACTTTCGTATGTTATTTGTATTTCCTCCAAAATGATTTAACAACTTTGTTAGAAGATGTGCCACTCTATATCTACAGAGAAATGTGGTTTCAACAAGATGGTTGCCCAGCTCATTATGCTTGTCTTATATGGGATTGCATATAGAATACTCAGAAAGATGGATTGGGTGTCATGGTTCGATTACGTGGCCTCCTCATTCTCTGGGTCTAAATCCCTTTGATTTTCTTATTAGGATTGCATAAAAGAAACAGTGTATTAAAAATCGATTGAAAATCTTGACGAACTGAGCCACAATATTTATACAGAAGCAGAAGAAATAAATGCAAAGAGACTTGCACAACTAGTAAAAAGATCTTTTCTGTGACGACGCAGAGCTTGTATTAGTGCCGACGGCAAATAATTTAAGCATTTGCCTTAATTTTAAGAAAATAATGCTATAAAATTAATAATAAATAAATTTGTTTGTTTAATTTTGTCTTTAGATTAACCTTATTTGAAAGAGTGTTTTTGCAAGACATAAGGGTAACCATTTTGTTGAAACCACATTTTGTAGTTCGTAGATATTGACTGGCACATCTTCTAACAAAGTTAAGAGGGAATAAAAAGTAAATACAAATAACATACAAAAGTATGAATTTTTTAAATAACGTGTTTTACAAGCAATAATATTTTTTATGACAGGAAAAATGGCAAGTGTTGTACCATTTTGGAAACTTCACTAAACAGGCCATCTTTTAAAATTACTTGCCAAGGGTGTTGTACTACTCCTTTTTTTAGAAATCGTGTGTCAAATTTGATAGACATAAATTCTTTCAACCTTAACTCAATCAAATTAATATATTTTTTTGCAAAACTAACGACTTTTGTTGTTTGATTTGTAACTTCTACAGTAGGATGGTTCACAAGGAATAGATTGTTGTTTCCATTGTTGTTTAAATGGTTGTT